AGCACCGCTCTCATTTTCCCCACACAGAACAAGGCAGGGAGACGGGCTGGTTTCAGCAGGAGGGGGTGATGGCAGCACGCTCCCCCCCTCTCCCTCCCTGCACTGAGGGTGAAGCTTCGGGAAGCAGAGAGGGGGCAGAGCCCAGGGCCCTGCTTTGAGGAAAGGTCACCCTCCCAGCGAGGCCTGGGCCTGGGGTGGTGGGCAGAGGGCAGAGTCCACCTGGGTAGGGGGGAGCCCCCTCAAGGCAAGTACCTGCTTTTTCTTTGAAGCCCAGCCACAGTCACTTTCGGTGTCACTACGGGAACGGGACCCAGACCAGGAACGGCACCCCAGCAAGAAGGCGAGGGTGGCATGCAAGGCCCCTGGAGTCCTTGCTGAACTTCCCCTTCGGAGCACAGGTCTGTCAGCCTGGCCCAGCTCACAGGGAAGCAGCAGCTCCTGCAGCATGACCATCGGTGATGGAGGTTGGCCTCTGCCTGTCTGGTTTGTCATCATCAACCTCCAGGTCCCCTGTCCTGGGCTCTCTGCCCAAGCATTCCATTGCCACACAGGCCCCACGAGAAACCGAGGCTCACAGCCAGCCTGCAAGCTCCCACCAGAAGCCCGAACCCCACGGGCTGGCTACGCCCCCCCCCCACAGTGGAGGCACAGAGGGTGGCCCCACTGAGTCCCCATGTGGATGGTTGTTCCACTATTGTGTTACCAGCGTCTCAGGGCAGAGTTGCCTTCAGCTTAGCGACCTCTCAGCGGCAGCCCCAGGAGAACCAGCCGCCTGGGACACAGCTGGTTGTACCGGAACCAGGGGGCACGCTCATAAGGCCCGGGTCTGCATGTCACCTGCGCCACCCTTTAGGTGCCGCTGTGACCTCGAGCCCACTACCTAACCTCTTTGGGCCTCAGATTCATCATCAGTAAAAAGGAAAGTGGGGATGATGCTAATATCTGCCTTAAAGAATTGCTATGAGGACGAATTTAGATAATGCCCTGAAAGCGAGTAGCAAAGCAACCATTCAAAAAGAAAAAAAGATAGTTTACCACCGTTGTAATCTGGTTTGTGGAACAGAGCACAAGGAAGGGTGCAAAGGAAGACTCAAGGTGTCCGCCGGGGTGTCTGTGTCAGGAGGTGTCCCCTGGCCTGTCCGCCTGGGTCAGCCCACGTGTGGAGGGCTACCGGGCCCCACCGATGTGGCCTCTGGCTTCTCCAAGATGGTAGAACACACAGAAAGCCAGATGTTGATCTTATAAGAGCTAGCTTTCTGACTGTTGCTTTATTTGTTTCTCCCGAAAATTCTAGAGTGTTCCCTGTGGATTAAGCTCTTTCTATCTATGGACTAGAATTGCAGATTCTTGAGTTTAAAGGCATATGGCTGCAAGAGTAAGCAAGTGCTGCCTCCGGGCTGAGAAGCTTGGCTGGCCTCGGGGGGTCAGGGATCCAGACATCCCGAATACCTCTTGTGACCTTGATTACCAAGAGGGAATCGTGAGCTGCACTCGATGGCTGCTATTCAGAAATCCTACTAAAGTCTTTTGTATAAAACGTGTGTGTGTGTGTGTGCGTGCGTGCGCGCGCACATGCGTGTTCCCGCGGGCATGTGCACCCGTATGTCTTTTCCCCCATATTGGAATGCTCGGTGTGAACCCTTTCTGTTTGTACCCATAACCATCACACGTCACCCTTTGCCTCTGAAACCTCCCTAAGTGCTCCAGGCTGCTCTTGGTCTGCTGCTGGCTTGGGGTCTGGGGGGGTTCAGGGAGGGGGACTCCCAGCAGCGAGCTGAGCACGTGTGAAGTGGGCCTCAACAAACAAGCAGGAAAGTGAGCGGATGTTCTGGAGTAAGCCCTCCCTCTGTCCTCCCTTCCAGGGGCCGTCTTGCTCGTGAGGGCACCTGACCCCAGAAATTGCATCCCTGACTCAGAGGGAGGGAAGCAGAGGGTCTGACTTAGTCCTTGATATTGGTGGAACCAGCGCCCAGGCCCAGGGCTAGTGGCCTTGAGAACGGATGTGAGTATCTGGGGCTTGGTGGGCTGCAGGCTGAGCTAGACTCTAGCTCTGCCACCCCCTTGCTCACCCCGGTGCCTGGTGCAGAGCCCGGTCCACAGCGGATTCGCAAGAGACCCTGGGTGAATGAATGAACTTGGGCAGGCCTGTTTAACTGAACTTTAGTTGCCTCTCCTACAAACTCGCCCACGGGAGAATATCTGCTCTTACTCACTAAGCCATTGTGGGAAGCAAACAGGACCACGTAGAGTCGAGTCTGGGGTCACACAGGCAGGGGTGAATCCTAGCTCTGCCCGTTCTTGGCTATGTGATGTCAGGCAACCTCTTTGAGCCTTAGTTTCTTCATCAGCAAAATGGGAGTAATAATGAAACCCCCCTCACAGGAGTGCAGCTCAGTGCTTCGCACACTGTCTAATACATTATTAACATGATACATTATTTTTGTCCTGCTTACGAAAGTGCTTTGGAAACTACAGAATGCGTTGCATATATGAATGACGATTTTTCTGTCCAAGGATCTCACTTCAGAGAACAAAATATATTTGGCTGGGGAAAACGTTCATGCAATAAACTAAAATAACAATAATCATAATAATCGTAGGTAATCACGTTATTATCTATTACATGTCAGGCTACTTTACACACATCATTTCCTGGGAGCTCTGGGGTCGGTTGCTTCCCGTTTTCTAGATGAGGAAACCAAGGCACAGAGAGGTTGAGTTACTTCCCCAGAGTCACAGAGCTAGGAAGCGTGGCAGCTAAGATTTCAAAGACCAGGGTCCCAGGTCATCTTTTGTGAACCTGGGACCTTCGGAGATTTGGCCCCAGCATCCTGGGCAGGCCTTGTAAGAGGAGCTCTCCCTGCCTGAGAGTAGGGGTGGGGAAAAGACTTTGGAGAAGCAGGTCCCTCCTCCGTCCTCCAAGCTCCAGGCTCAGGATTCTGATCCAGCCTCACCTTTCCCCGGCAGCCTAGACCTCATATGCTCTTATGTAACTCCGTTTCCTGCTCCCCTGCCCCCACGCTTTATATAAGACAGCTCAGCAAACACTGGGGGACCCCACTCGAACTCGCTGTTGTTCTCCTTGAGGCTGGAGCCTGTCTTTGAGTGTGCGTGCATGCGTGAACATACACTCATGCACATGTGCCCGTGTGTATTTGTACACGTGAGTGTACTCGTCATGGGATGGAGGGCACCAATACGCATGTGAGGACACAGACATGTCTTCATTGGCCTTTTTTTTCTTGCAGTGAGAATAAGGCTTCCCCACTACGGCTTTCCTTTTTCAACAAATTCAGGCAGCTCAACTCTTGAATGCCCTGCTCTTGCCCCGGTCACAGGTAGTAGCAGGTCCATGTTAGTAGAGGAAAGTTCTCACAGTGCTGACTCTCACTTGGTCAGCCAGGAAAGTGTCTAAGCCTCTGTTCCTCCTGGAACTCCCACTTGCCAGTCACTTGGGGTCACTTGGGGTTTTAAGGGAACCCCTGCGGCTGTCTGAGCTGCGTCCTGCAGGCATTGGGTCAGCTCAGGCTCCAGACACCTGCGCTACACGAGGCCAGATACCCAGGCTACCCACAACATTCAAGGCTGCTCTCCCCACATGGCGCTGGGCTACCTGCCTGTCCAAGCTATCAACACAATGTTCTCCACATTGTAGGTTTTGCCCCATGGACACTTCACAAGTAATCTCTGGCCCCTTTACTGGCCTGACCTGTCAAACTGGACGAATTCTCCCAGGTCTGAGATTGGGGTGGGGAGGTGGGTGGGCAGGCGACACGTCCCAATGATGAGGATTCTCACTACCCAGGAGGGCTCAGGAGCCAGCAAGATTCTGGATTCTTCATAGTCCAAGACCATCTATGCTTTTGTTGAGGTACTGTCCCCTCTGCCGGTGTGGAACTAGGTGCTGAAGACAGGGGACTGTGTTCCCTTCGCTTCTCTTCCCAAAGCCAAGAAGGGCTTCAGCCATCTTCCTTCTCATTCACCTTCACTTCCACGCCGGGCAAAAGAGGATAGGGAGAAATCCATTAGAACCCCATCCCCCACCCCCAATCTTCCAAGCACCAAGGTGCCGGCCTGGGGTCAGACAATGGGGTCTATACATAGGCTACAAAGCCCAACGTTCCTTCCTCCTGTCTGCCCACCCACCCCAGCCCATCCCAGACCAGACAGCAGAGCCACCCACTCCCCCTTGGCCGGTGAATGCCGAGGTTCTTAGGCATTAACACTGCTTTAAGTTAATTCTGCATCTGCAAGAGGTGGCAGGGTTCTGGGCAGCAGGGGGCATCTCATAATGGGAAGTTCGAAATTCCCTCCACACGGCTGCATTTGGAGGCCTTTCTGCATTTTAAACATCCTGGGTCCTTTGCACCACAAAGCCTTCACCTGAACTTGCTTTCCCCGCTCCCCAGGCGGCAAGGGCGTATTTTCAGCGCCCCACTACTACTCGTCCACACTCGACAAGGGTGGGGTCCAAACCAGCCCTTAGAGGAGGCTTTTGCCCCTGTAATGTAACTAGATCTAGCCACCCCCCCCATTAAATTTTATTTGACCACGGTCTTGAGGTATTAATTTTGCTGTTCGCCCCCTTTGCACTTAAGTCACTGAATTTTTTTTTTTTTTTTAATCTCACGGAGTAAATTAAAATTTCCCAAAGGTTTACTCTCCCTGCCGGACCAGCCCTTTCCCCTCCGGAGCTATAGCCTCCTTAGCCTCCGCGGAGTGGGGTCTCAGGAACCCCGGACCTGGGCCCCCTGCCCCGGCTCCGCAGTCAGGCGGCCAGGGGGCCCAAGGGGTACACACCGCGCTCCCGCCCGTGCCCCAGCCAACACACATCCCAACACACATGCACACACACCCCGGCGAGGTGCCGCTGGAAGCGGCCGGAAGCCCGACGGCTGCAGTTTTATTACAAGGTTTCTTCTCAAAGGCGACATCAGGCCGACAAGGCTCAGCGACTCGGATTCTCCAACGACTCCCCCCCCCCATCTACAGACCCCCAAACTCCCACGCACGTGACCGCGGCCCCGGGCGGCCTCGCACGACCTCTCCCACGCGGCCACGCCGAGGCGCACACAGCACCAGCCGGGTGTGGACGACCCTCTCCGCGCCGCCGCCTCGAGTCCCGCGGTGTCCGGGTCCTGGCGGGGGCAGGGGGCCCGAGGTCCGTGGCTGTCCCTCGCGCGGCCGGCGGAGCCCGCGCGGGGCACGAGGGTCCTGGTGTCCCTCTCGTCTGCTTGCGGGCCGGGCGGCCTCAGTACAGCCCCAGGATGGCGGCGCCCACGTCCTTGGAGGGCCGGCGCTCCTGCGCCAGGAAGTTGATCCTGCTCTCCGACCTGATGAGCAGGTTGCAGCCCAGGAAGAACACGCCGAAGACCACGGTGAGCGACAGCACGCCGAGCACAGCGATCTGCGCCCCGCGCGACCCCCCCAGGCTGCGCTCGTCGGGCGCCAGCCCCGCGGGGACCCTGTCGCTGGCGGCCAGCGGCGCGCCCCCGGGGCAGCAGCCCAGCCCCGTGCCCAGCCCGTGGCTGCGGTTCCCCAGGGCGGCCCCGCCGCTGCCGCCCAAGCCGCCCGCCGCCTCCAGGCCGCTGTGGTTCAGGAAGGTCGCGTTCATCGCCGTTGGGCGCCGGGGGTCTCGGCGCGCCGGCCGGGGCGCACGGGGAGGCGGCGGGCGCCCGCGCTCCCGGAGACGCTGGGGGCGGGCTGCGCGCGGGGAGGGGGGAAGGCGGGAGGCCGCCCGCGCGCCGGCGCCCCTCGCGCCCCCTGCCCCTGGGCGCCGGGCGGGAAGCGGCGGCCCGGAGTGGCGAGCAACAGGCGGCGCGGGAGCTGCAGCAGCCGGAGAGCCGCTCGCTCGTCTCGGTCGCCGGCTGCGCTGCGCGACCGCCCCGCCGCCCCTCCCCTAGCAACGGCCCAGGCCCCGCCGTCCCCCTCCGTCCCCCCGAGTGCGGGCGCCGGCAGGCGTCGGAGAGGCGGGCAGCCCCGCCCTCGGGCCGGCGGAGGTCGAGCCCCGGGGGGCAGCGGCGGACTGTTTCGGGGTGCAGGATCTGCCAAGGCGCCCATTCCGGGATTCGGTGCTCGTCGCCGGTACGTTCTTCCTGAAGTCTGCCCTAAATCTCGTCTCCGCTCTTCCGCGCCTCCTAACTCTTCCGACACATCAGGAGTAGCCGTGACCCCCGGCATGGGCTTCCCTCGCCTCTCTCTTCGCCGCCGCGGCGGTGGCGCTGGGTGCGGGGCGCTCCCGCACGGCCCTCCCCGCCCCTCCCCGCTGTCCCCGAGCTGCAGGTGTGGCGGCGGGGCGTGCTGCCTCCTTCCCACCCTGCCCCCACCCTGCCTCACTTGATTTTTTTTTTTTATTTTAATTTAAGAAGAAGTTTATTGCGGGTCCCCCCCCCCGCTTTCATTCCTTTTTACAAAAAAACGCATCATTGTAAACTAGAGAGTATGGATTAGCAACATTTAAAAAATCTAAAATAATCCTACCACCCAGGGTTGTCGACGTTACCAGCTTGGTACAGAATCTTCTGGGCTTTTTTCTTTGCGTGTCTCAATACATACGTATATTCAAATAACGATTCACTGTTCATACCTACTGTTTTGTAGCTATTGTTTTGCAGCCTTTTGTCATTTGTGTATTTTTAAGTAGTGATAAATATTCTTCTACAACAGTGGTTCTGAATAGCCTGGAGGACTTGTTAAGACCCAGATGGCTGGGCCCAGACCAGAGTTTCTGAAGCAGTAGGTTGGGGATGGAGACCCCAGGATGTGCATTTCTAACAAATTCCCAGGGGATGCTCTTGGTGGCTACTCCGGGGTCGTGTTTTGAGAACCACTGATCTGTAATACCAGTTTAAGTGAAGGGATGGTGTTCCAAGGTAGAGACTACACAATTTATTTTACGAAGGTGTTTATTTTGGGGTATTTTAGTTGTCCCCCCTTTTTTGTGTGGAAGGCAATATTACGGTAAAGACCCGGTAACAAAGGCTGTGCAGACTTTTCCATAGTCTAATTGTTTCCTTTATATTTTGAAAAATGGACCTGCAGAATCAAAAGGTTACATCCTATCAAATTGTTCTGCAGAAATATACCAGTTTAGGGGACACCTGGGTGGCTCAGTGGGTTGAGCATGAAACTCTTGATTTTGGCTCAGGTCATGATCTCAGGGGTCCTGGGATCCAGCCCTGCATTGGGCTCCCCCTCTCGGGGTGGGGGGAGTCGGCTTGAGGATTTCTCTCCCTCTCCCTCTGCCCCTCCCACCCCCCCACCTCATGCACCTGCGTGTTCTCTCTCCTAAAATATATATAAATAAATCTTTTAAAGATTAATTAGAAATATACCAGTTTACACTCTAGCCCTGTGGGGAAGGGGGGCATTGCCCCCGATCCTGGTTATTGTCATTATTTTAAGAATCTGCCTGAGTTTATGGGATGTGGGATGGTTTCTCACCCTGATGTAAGTTGCATTGTTTGAGCTGTGGAGAAGGAGGGAAAGCGTTTAGGAGTCTTTTCCATAGTCCAGGCAGAAGATGCTGCGGGAGGCTTGGATGATGCTCTTGGTGGTAGAGGGAGAGACCCGGGGATGGAAAGGGCTTGGCAAGTGGGAGTGAGGGGACTCACGACGCCCCCAGTATGAAGCATCTCAAAGCCACAGCCCCACCATTAGAACTAATTCACGTGTGTGTGCCTCCTGGGAAGCTCTTACATTTCTCATTTTAGAGACAAAGAAACTGACACACACACACACAGACACAGGAGAGATTGGGGGAAGAAGACCTGGCTCACCCTCCCGGGTCCTGGGAGAGCCGCCTGGCACAAGGGTCTCCCTGCCCTGACCACCCTTGAGAGCCGGGATAGAACAGGGAGACAACAGGTTTCTGGCCAGATATTTTGTCCTCTGCTTTTGACCAGTGGATTTCTTTAGAGAAATGCTTGGTTATGTCCTTTGCCCATCAGTCTCCCGAGACCAGCCCCTGAGCTTTGATATGCCCTGGCCATGGAGTCTGTGCTCCTGACTCAATGTCGCTCACGGTGGGCTGCCTGCTGTACAGAAAGCAGGGGTGGGAGGAAGAATGGTGGGGACCAGAGAGGCCTGCCTGCCCCAGCAGGAGGCTGTGAGGGGACTGATGGCTGGCCTTTCCTTTATTAAACACCTATTGTAGGCTCAGGGCGTTAAACATATTAGTACCTCACTGAATTCTTTTTTTTTTTTTTAAGATTTTATTTATTTATTTGACAGAGAGATAGAGAGAGAGCACAAGTAGGCAGAGTGGCAGGCAGAGGGAGAGGGAGAAGCAGGCTCCCTGCTGAGCAGGGAGTCGGATGCGGGACTTGATCCCAGGACCCCGGGATCGTGACCCGAGCCAAAGGCAGCCGTTTAACCCACTGAGCCACCCAGGTGCCCCATCTCTTAATTCTTATAACAGCCCCGAAAGGTAAGCATCTTAGGTATTACTGCTGCATCATGGCTTATCCCCAAATGTAGCCAACATCTATGACTTCACACAGCTTTCGCGGGGCCAGGAAGGCGAACGCAGCTTAGCTGGCAACTTCCAGCTCCGTGTCTCAAGAGGTTGCAGCCAGGGTGGTGGCCGGCGCCACGGTCGCCTGAGAGCTTGCCTGGGGGTAGAGGATTGGCTTCCGAGAAGGCTCCCTGACACGGCTCTTGTCTCAAGGCCTCAGTTCCCGTCCATGTAGACCTTTCCACGGGGCTGACATGCAGTTGGCTTGCCTCAGAGCCACTCTTGAAGAATGCGCCGGACGGATGGTGAGCAACTGGTGGGAGGGAGAGGGGCAGAAGAGTGAGGCTACAGTGTAAAATATGTTGGTTCTCTTTGTCATTTAGGTTTCACAGCCACCTTAGGGAGAGAAACCATTAGCCCCATTTGACGGATGAGAAAATGGAGGCTCAGGAAGGAGAGAGATTTTGCCGGAGGGCACAGAGCCGGTTGGTGACTGACACAGCCAGAATGTAAGCCCTTTGCTACCTTAAAACCTGACCCCGGCTTTTTCCAGCACTTGGTGTGTGGACGGGTCGGGGGGGGCTTCATTGTTAGGGAAAGACCCCCCCAGCCCCCAGAGCTTGGGGGAGGCCTCGGGAGCCTACGAAGTTGTCTGTCAACTGAGCTACCTTCTCTGCTCCAGAGACAAGGAAGCCAGGGCCTCTGGGCCCAGCTGCCACCCACACAGGACTATTTTTACCCTCCACCTCAGTGACAAGTCTGCATCTTCCAGCTCTGGAAAGGCCATCTGGGCAGTCTGGCTGTCCCAGGAAGAGCATCTACCCTGAGGCCACCGTTGATGCCCTGCTGTCCCCTGCAGCTGTTTTTAGATGAACCTTTAGCTTTCTGGCATGTCATGGCTGCCCAGGGTCAGTCAGGTGCCTCCCTCGCCTGGATTCAGAGGTTAATAAAACCTCCTTAACTAGTATCACTTACTAGATGGACTTTTCTGAACTAAAACGTTTAAATCTGCAGATATTTTAAATTGCTCACATTTCAAACAATGTTAAAAAGTGTCCTGTGCATGAGCCATTTTTTTTAAGGATTTTATTTATTTATTTGAGAGAGAGAGTATGAGCGTGGGGGGGGAGGGGGGAGGAGGGTAGGAGAGGGAGAAGCAGACTCCCCACTGAGCGGGGAGCCTGACGTGGGGCTCGATCCCAGGGCCCCCGAAATCATGACCTGAGCCGAAGGCAGGCAGACGCTCAACCTACTGAGCCACCCGGGTGCCCCCTGCATGAGCCATTTTTTTTTTTTTAAAGATTTTATTTATTTATTTGAGACAGAAAGAATGAGAGGGAGGAGGGTCAGAGGGAGAAGCAGACTCCCTGCCGAGCAGGGAGCCCGATGCGGAACTCGATCCCGGGACTCCAGGATCATGACCTGAGCCGAAGGCAGTCGCTTAACCAACTGAGCCACCCAGGCGCCCCTGCATGAGCCATTTTAATGATGAGATGAGAATGATTTTATTTTGCATCTTCAAACTACACACACACACACACACACACACACAGAGATGAAAAATGTAAATGGATGGCCATTGTATAACATACTTCAGGGGGAAGTCTAAGAACCTTTGGACGTAATTTATTTTCTGAAGTGGTCTCAAACAACCCCCTAGGATCCCGTTTACACTATTCATTTGTTTGGCAAACTCTCCCTGGAGCGGGCAAAGGTTGCCTTCTGTCAGGTTCCTACCCAAATGATCTCATGTTTCACGCTGGCAGAGGGGAAGTTAATAATGATTTACTGCATCTCTCACAGAATTAAAATAAACACGGTTGCCCGGTTCAGCCTTTGTCCCGCACACCAAGTGGAGAGCAGCGGAGGGCCCCCAGGCAGCTCGGGCCGTGGGAGCTTGACCCACAGCAGCAGGAGAGACTCTGCAGAAGTGTCTGCGCAGGAGTAGAAAGGGGCAGTTCCTGTGTACGCACCTCGAAACAGATAACCGAGACAGGTATCACAGGGATCATGGAGCTTCACACCCCGCCTCCCGCCACCTCACCTCCCACCACCTGTCTGATTTGTGTTTTAGAGAAAACCTGGATTTTGGAGATCTAGGATCTGTTTCTGCCTCTGCCCCTGATTGGCTGCTGTGACCATGAGCAAGTCAGCCACCCTCCCTAGGCCTTGACTGGCTCATCTATAAATCAAGGGACCTGGATCAGATCATCTTCAATAAATCTACATTTACAGAAACAGGTGGTGGACCAGATGGGCCATAGTCTACCTTTGCTTTACATTTCCTGTGGGGTTCAGAGAGCCTGGGGCCCAAGATCTGTGGCTGGTCTGCACCTAAAGCCCTGCCTGGGCCTCCATGATCCCACCCATAAAATAAGGAGCACGTTAATACCTGCATTCTGCAAACTGCTCAACAGAGGTGACACTGAGCTAAAGAGGTCTGATCAGTACAGGACTTCTCAGGGCCTTTAGTACTTTGGTATGCATTGTGAATTTCCTAGGGGGGGGATGCAGGATGCAGGGTTTAACTAACACAAAGTAGTATTTTTTGCACTATGTACCACTCAGCACGGCTTGGGAAATGCCCTGTGAGCTCCCTGAAGTCTCATTTCCTTCCCTGTAAAACAGGGGTGACCATAGCACCTGCCCCCTGAACTGTCGGGAAGGCTGAATGGGGTGATGCCTGGAAACGGGCCTGGCACAGAGTAGATGTTCAATAAATGCTGGCAGCTATTATTTATAATAAGATTCTCCCTTTCCAGCTCTGACATTCTGGGTTTCCAACTGCAGCATGTAATTAAACTCCAAAGCATCTGGCTTCCCGAGTTGAAAGAACAAGCCCGGAGGAAGGAAAAAGGAAGAGAAAGATCCTTCTGGATCGTCCATTTGTGCAC